AACGAACTGGACGCTCGATTGGCAAGAGCCATATTCGTCCTGTGCAACTGAACTGACCTGAAACTACTACCAGAAACTACTATTGATTCGAAGTGCTGGAAGCCAACGAAACCGCCAGCAACACAAAGAACTGGACGCGCGATTGGCAAGAGCCACAATTCGTCCTGGGAGAACTGAACTGAACTGAACTGACCATATTACGGACACGTACCAGGATATACCGTTAGCATTGTAGCTTGTGATGTCTTTGTGAATATTACAACATACCTGAATAGTTCGAATGGCCTTTGTGGGTTTCAGGGAAATATTCAACAAGCAAAAGGTTATTTGTCACTTGAATCATTATATTTCTGATAGACCTTCCGTCCCAAAAAGAACTTTACTCCAGACACTATTCGCTTTCATCTTCACAAGAAAGCGGAAGCAACACTCAGTGCTGGTATTGATCTCAAGGAGGCAGTTAAGTGTCCGGAAGACGAAGAACTGAACGATTGGATCGCTGTTCATGGTACTTTAACCTGTTTAGCCAAATAACAATCTTAGTTGTTGATTTTTACAATCGTATCAACTTGATTTACGGTACCATATGTGATCGATGCACAGAACAGAGCTGCCCGACTATGTCTGGTGGCAAAAAGTTCGAATATCATTGGCGAGATAATGTGCGTTACAAGAAACCTACACCACTGCCAGCTCCGAAGTACATGGATGTGCTGATGGATTGGATCGATGCTCAGATCAATGACCCTGCTATCTTTCCTACTGACGTTGGTTAGTTTGTATTTTATCTTTTCCACTCTCCAGGTGTTCCGTTTCCAAAGTGCTACATACCAACTGTGAAGAAGATTTTCGGTCGCCTGTTTCGAGTCTTTGTTCATGTGTACATCCATCACTTCGATAGATTGCATGAAATCGGAGCGGTAAGGTTACTCATTATTATCTACTAATTGTTTCAATCCAGGAGGCACATGTCAATACTTGCTACAAGCACTTCTACTATTTTGTTACGTATTTTCATCTGATCGACCAGAAAGAACTAGAACCGCTGGTATGTGAACTCCATTTAACCATACTGTAGTCTTATTCACCGGTTTTCAGTTGATTTTTATTCCTTTGATACTCATTTAAAGTGAAATTAATTTATTATGTATACTGCACACTGGACTCGTATTTACTCTTCTCCCAGTCGTTCTTTACTTGTTTTATTTGGTTAGCATGACAGCAATGAACGGATTTGGTTTCGGTGTATGTACTTATTAATTATTTATTTATATATGCGATAATGATGACTCATGTGCGTAATATTCAGTAGTCTTGGTTTTTATTTCTCTGGTTGTATTCAGTTTCAGAATTTTGACAAATCAAGTGATCACATTCTGTCTTTGGTACTCCAAGGTTCCCTGAACCCTTTCACATTTTTGATCTATTATCACTAACTTCAAAAGAAATGTTATTTTTAATGATTATTCTTAGGAAGAAAAAAACTCGTTACATAGTCTAAGAAGCAATACCACTACCAACCTAGTGTGATCTCTTGTGGCTGGTGACACCAGGTGCCGGGGTTTAGATTACTGGTTCCCTTGAGTGAACAGCAGGTCCTCGTGATAAATTTGATCCCGTCCGAACAGAACACGTCAAAATTTCAACCACCTGCCGGCGTATTGCAGGGTTAACCCCTTCAGTCATGCAGTCCAGTTCGGGGAGCACAGGACTGATAATAATCACGGTCATTCGACCGTCCGGAATTCCTTTGGCGATATGCTCATGGGACGAGCGCCCACCATTTTGATATCAATTGCAGCCTATTGTGGACGAACTACGGTTCTCTGCAATCGTTCGTCCCGTTTTCGTGTTGTATGCTTGAGAAGTTACTTTCAATTTTGCGATCTCTTTGTACTAACAGCCGAAGTCGAGTTCAGTCATACGGCATTTCGCCCGAGTTCACTACAGCAAGTGGTATATATATCTTCAACACCAACCTTCACAGATAGGGCGCCATAATAATCATTATTGAATGCAACATATAGATACAGAAGAGGGAGAAAACAATAGCAATCAGCTTTAACTTTGTCATAACCTTAATTCTCGATACAGCCCTGTCCTCATGCGACGATGATATCATCCGTTTTCTCCCAGGTAGTAGACTGTCTGATCTGGATTTGGCAGAGTGAGTGAAGGTCCATGCAAGTTGTAAGTGTTTCTGGATAGCTTGAGTGCTAACGTGTCTATGTTCGATATGCTTTTCGCACATGTAAACTGTAAAATATTGCTGCGCGATTGGCTTGGCCCAGCCCTCACTTTAACTGGAGTAGTATAATAGGAAGTAGGCAAATTTTGTTATTCGGGCAGCTACACCTCACTCGGCGAACGCGCCACAGATGAAGTGTCGGAACGCATTCAGAAGATTCAGTTGGCGTTTACCAATTTGAAAGATCTTTGGCGCCGTCGTGATATTCAGCTGTTTGTGAAGGGTCGAATATGTGCCGCAGCAGTCAGGCAAGTTCTGTTCTACAGTGCGGAGACTTGGCCACACGGGAAGAGGATAATGATTGATTGTCGGTGTTCGAACACCGCTCTCTACGCCACATTGCATGAGTCTGTTGGGGAAACCGGACAAGCAATGCCGAAGTTAGACGCAAATTTTTAAGTAATCGCAGTCGTCCACTGAAACAAGTGGTAGACGTCCATAGACTACGGTATCTGGGACATGTTACGCATGTCACCAAATGGGTTGCCACGGTGCGCGACCTTTGCCGAGGTAAGCATCAAATCGAAAAAGATCAAGGGCGGTCAAACCAAGACCTGGCATGAAAGTATGAAAACCCTAATTAGGACACTGGGTCACATAGGAACTGTCTGGAAACCCCGAAATCAAGGTAAGAGGCGGTTAGAGACACTGTGTGATATGGCCGATTGTCGCAAACAGTAACACGCGTGCATCTACTCAATATCCTTGCAACCCCAGTTTATATGAATTCTCCATCTTCTCTTAGACTCTGCTCTCGTCATTGCAATCTTCATTTTGCTATTTTATCCGAGTGAGCAGCCCAAGACAACCAAAACCAGTGCATAAAGTTGCACGGTTGTTGGTTGCAAAAACTTGAACTCCATGTGTTTGCCGGTGATTCCTTTGTCTCCCTACACTTTGAGTCAACAGTTATTTTTCTGTAAAGCAGCGTGAAATACAGTGATGCGAACCTGATTGATCAGTGCAATATATTGTATACAATAAATTTTGACAGACGAGTACTGCTAGGAAGCCCAACCACAGGAGAACGATTAAGATTATCAATCAAGGTCTTTAACTCTGACAAGAACCTAACCGCAAAGCAGCGGGGGAAGCGAGGTAGAGATTCATTTTTTGGATTTATTATTCCTTTATCAATTAACCTTCAACCTTCAAAGCATGATTTTCGGCTTAACCAAAGCAATCCTGTATAGCTCTTTGGGTTACACAAGTGCACAAGCCAGCACACCACGTCAAGATGCAGTCAAAACTTGACCCACAAGGTAGAAGGGCGGTGTGTGAAAACAGCAATCCATTGGGGGCCGATGTCCAGTCCATCGGATCATACGCCCTTTGGACGGGGTGTCCACGGTACCCAATACACCTCAATGCCCAATCGAGCCAGTGACCACTAACACAACCGAGGTGTGTAATTCGTACGCCTCCTCTTGGTTGGTTTGGAATCAGGGTTTTTGGTCAACTCCCCTAGGTAAACTACCAGTGGTCCACCAACCCGGTTATAGCCCCGGATGTCCGCTTTTCATCCTCTCACTTTGGTGGGAAAACACCTCCACCGCGAGAAGGCAGTAAGTAGGGCTTTCTCAGCAGAGGATTTTCGAGACGCTTGGTCGTATGGGAGCAGTTCGCGAGGTACAAGGGAAGGGTGACCAGCCACAACCCTGGACACTCACCTCCGATCATGCTGAGGCTTTCGGAAGCCCCATGTCCTTTAAAGAAAAACAATATGCTAACAAAAAATCAAACAAAAGAATGTTTTTCCTGTTACCCACTACAACTGTTTGACCCTCCATTTCACCGTTTTATATCCCAACCCCTTCGTCCTATGTTATGGTTGTTGTTGTGTTGGCACCATGATTGCTCAGTAGCTATGTATATATGCGGCTTTGCTGTCCTCCGGTTAAGTACCTCGCCTAACCTGGAGGGGGCTTATGTGGTTCGCCGCTCCAAGTCCTGGGACTAAGGTTACCGGTTTCCATCAATAATCAGTGTGTCCTCGTGGCTATGGATTTACCCCGTCTGTTGTTCATCACACTAAAGTGTGAGCAAGCCTCGGAAAGTTATCGTGATGATTTTATAATAGGCGTTGTGGGTTAGATGGGTCTAGATTCAGACAACGCGATTCCAGGCCCGATTTTCAGTGTTCTTATGATGAATAGTATATATATTTCCTTTTCAGGCAGAGGACAAGTATCAACTCAGAGCAAAGGCTGTCTAATCGAATATTGTAATGTTTTCTATTTTCTCTGCATCAGTTGAGGTTTACTCGTTTACGAAAAATGGCAAAAATTAAGTTATCCGCAGCTCGACAAAGCAATTATTTCATACGTAGCATTCGGGTAGTCTAACCAAAGTGTTTTCATAATACCATGAAGAAAAGTTGCCATTTTTTTCTCTGTTTATCATGGTAGAGCATTGTGTATGAGCCGAAATACAATGATCTAGTTTTATCCCTATTGTATCCAAATTTGTGACAGAAATCGTCGCACGTTCGGATGTTGTGCTTTATTTATGTTCAATTTCAGTTAACCTGGCTTCACAGGTAGATTGAAACAATCGTCGATTCATTGTAGCCATTTTTTATATGGTCGCTCAAAACGCTACTGAAACCCTAGAGAGCGTTGGGTGTTAGGTAAACTGTTTGTTGATGAAAAATAGCAGCGTAGATAGCAGGTGTAATAGTCAATCACAAAATGGACCTAAAACACGACTGTTTAATTAATTCACATGTAAGTCTTGAACGATGGAGTAGTGCAGCAGCCTACACAGCGAAAAGATACGCAAATATCCCGACTTGTTGCCCTCTGCAGATGTGACTGTTAGGTTGTAATTTCCTGTTTCAGGTTGACGATCAAAGAGTGGCAATAGCCAGACTTCAGTCTGTTAGGCTTCCCTAATCCATTTTTAAATATGGAGAACCAGCCTAAGCTTCAGAGTCGACAAAACTCCTTGCTTCAGTATGGGGTTCAGTTCACTTTTATGAAGTGTTAACCATGCACTTTCCTGCGCCTGATTTGTTTGCTGCCTGATGAATTCCAATTTGGATGAAGGAGTCAGGGGAAGATAAGAACGCTCAAATCATTATCAGAGTGAAAATTGAGAATTCACGAAGGCTAAGATCGCAGGTATAATGAGTAAATGTACGAGCGCTACTGTTTACGATAGCCGTATCACTCAGCGCCTCTAACCACCGGTTGCGATAATCTCGAGGTTCTCATTCAGGGATTCGAACGCGGCCTATGTGAGCAGGTCTCTTAGTCGGTGTTTTTATAGCCTGAGTGTGACTACCATTTGCTTTATTCCACCCAACACCTGCCCCGGCAAACAGCTCACGCCGTGGCAATTTATTTGGTGACATGTGCAGCACGTCCCAACCAACTTAGTTTATGGAGGTCAACCACTTACTCCAGTGGGCGACCGCAAACCCCTAAATCTAACGTCTAACCTCAGCTTTGCTCTTCTAGACTCGCGAACAAAAGACAGCAACCAGAACCGCCGCACGAAGGTGTATGGTTAATGGTTGTACAAGCTGAATTGAACTGAGACTCGCGCAGTGCGGCGTAGATAGCGGTGTTCGAACGCCGATAGTCTATCTTTATTTTGTTTTCTTAATGGCCAAGTCTCTGCGCCGTATAGCGCAACTGGCCTAACTGTTGCAGCATAAATTGTACTCTTCACAACTAGTCGGCTGTCGTGACGGTACCACAGATCTCAAATTGGCAAAGCCATTTGAGCCGACACTTCATCCGTGATGCGGCCACCGGGTGAGATGTAGCTACCAGATAGCGAAGTTTGTTCACAACCTCTATTACTTCTCCAGCTTCAGTAAGGTT